CTGAAACCGTATGTAGAACGTGAGGAGTATGCGCGCAAAGGTAGCCAGGATGAACAGGATGAGGATGATCATGGATCTCAGTCTGAGTCTGTTGATGCTGGTGAAGTGGTAGAGGAAGACGATGATGACTATGTACCATATCTGTCTCAACATTGCGCACCCGATGTGTGTATCGATCACAGAGCGGACGTCCTAAGTGGTCCGGAGCATGCTAACGTAGAAGCACCGTTGCTATCCTCTAGTACAGTCGCAGATGCTACGGATCAGGAAGCTTCTGTTGGTGCCGAGGGGGATACGAGTGTGCTGCACAGCGCTGATGGAGGAACTGTGCCCGATGTAGACTCGAGGGACGGTGCTTGCGTTGTTGTCACGGATAGTGTGGCTGATGGTGATGACAGGCTGACGACAGGAGGTGATGGGGATACTGGGACTAACGCTGTCAGACGAAGTAAAAGAAAAAGATCCGCCCCAAAGCTTTATGGAGAATGGCTGTTTAGTTAACTTCATGTGTTCCTACGCACGATGTTACATGGCGGTGTATGGCGGGGAGGAATGTGACGAATGTGTCCTGTGCATGTTGTGACTGTGTGTTATCCTTCCCCGGCAGACCTGTATCTGGGCCGAATACATGCTTTGAACTGAACATCACACTAACCGACCGTGTACCAAATTTGAGCGCAATCGGCCCAGCCGTTCTCGAGATCTGGAAACGCCCCCTGCACGTGCGCACGTGCAGTAGCACCCTAACCGCAACACATGGGAATGCATTGCCTGGTGGGTGCCTACCTGTATGCCAAGTTTCACCGAAATCGCCCCAATAATTACCGAGTTACTGAAATGGGAACAAATTTGGCACCTCTTATTGTTGTATTTTGCACGTGCAGTGGGGGTCACTCACATAGATGAAGAGTATCCGACCTTTGTATTGTATTGTATTGTATTACCTTCATGGACAATCCACGCGGGGCGTGGCGATTACAGTCCATACGCGCCCACCGCTCATCGTCCCGGCACCGGACTGCAAATCGGAGCCCTCAATGTCCAGAGCCTCAAGCCCAAACTGCTGGAGCTGTCGGACGAACTTAACCGCCAAGATCTCGACGTCACGCTCCTGTCCGAAACTTGGCTACGACCGAGCACACCCAATCGCCTCCTGGTCATCCCTGGCTACTCCATCAGCCGGGTGGACCGACCTGACGGCCGAGGCTTTGGCGGCGTCGCCATCATCACCAAAGCGGACCTTACGCCTGTAGCACTGAAGCCACCAAGCTCGCAGTGCCCGGGAACAGTCTTCTGGAATCGCAGTGGGCATTGTTGAAGTTACCAAAAAATCGCAATCTAATTGTCTGCTCGGTGTACCGACCGCCGCGTTATTCCGCGACCGCACTGCGTGCGGATTTTACAGACTTGGAAACCCAGCTTCAGCGTGTCCTTATCGACCACCCCAACGTCCCGTTTGTTATATGCGGCGATCTGAATTGTGACTTGTTAAAGAGCGCTAGCTCTCCCGCCCGTCAACACATCAGCGAGTTCCTCTCTGACTACTCTCTGGATCAACTCGTGACATCAACATTCACTACCGGTTCTCTCTTGGACGAGTGTATTGTACAAAACCGAAAATTTGTGCGTTCTTATAGCGTAGTCCATTGCCATTTCAGCCCACACAAACTCATCCACGTGACCGTCGACGTGCCTAAGCAGCGCCTAAAACCAACTGTCATCCAATCTAGATCACTTAACCAAGTGGACGTTCACTCTATCAACCAAGAGCTGCTGAGTGTCGATTGGCAGGAAGTTTATAACTCGACGTCTGTTGCTGACAAGTGGCAGGTCTTTTTAGACAACTTTCTACCTGTCTTCGACGACCATGCCCCCCTCAAAAATGTGCTGATAAGAAATCCTACAGCGCCCCCTGTATCTGCCGCCACCCGCGACATTATGTCCAGGCGTCGCTCCGCGTTACGTCGGCTAGGCCGCGAGTCTCCCGAGTATAAGGCTCTTAACCGCTCCGTCCGTGCCGCCTTACGCCGAGACCGCCGTCACGTCCTCCAAAACGAGATCAGCGAGCGTGGGGTAAACAAAGTCTGGCAAAGCATCAAATCAGTGATCGCTGGAAAGAAAGATGGTCCAAATATTCAGCCCGATCTATCTCCCGACGATCTGAACTCCTTCTTCGTCTGTCGGGCCCCGCATTGCCGCCGAACTGAGTACCCAAAACAACGATACTGATCTAAATGTACGTCTACCCCGTGTCGGCGCATGCAGCTTTAGGCCGAGGGCCATCACTCTCGGGGAACTCGGACTCACAGTGTTCAGCATGCGAAACTCTGCCGCGCGTGGCACTGACGGTATATGCATCCGCATGTTAAAAGTATGCTTCCAAACTATTGGCGACATCATTTTACACATCATTAATGTCTCGATCACCCGTTCCGACATTCCTGACCCCTGGAAACACTCTATCGTTCAACCGATCTTCAAGTCTGGCAACCCATCTGACCCCAGCAATTTCAGACCGATCTCCCTAGTTCCCGTAATCATGAAAATCATCGAGCGTGTAATCCATCAGCAGCTCTATCACTATCTCACCCATAACCACCTTCTTTCGTCTACCCAACACGGATTCCGCCCCCGACACTCCACTGAGACTGCACTGCTGTCAGTCACAGATAGCATCCTTGCCGCCACCGATAGGGGTGAGATCTCAATGCTATGCCTCATAGACCTTAGCAAATGTTTTGACGTCATTGACCATGAACTCCTTGTCAAAAAGCTCCAAATCTACGGTATTGAGACCTCCTGGTTTTCCGCTTATCTTCAGGGACACACGCAGAGTGTATCCCTGAAAGACAAAACCGGCCGTAAGATAACCTCTCGACCGCTCCCAAACACCGTAGGAGTTTTCCAGGGTTCGGCTTTGGGTCCCCTCCTCTTCACTATATTCTCCAACGACCTCTCACTATTTGCCGGAGACGCCACCGCTTATCAGTACGCAGACGACACCCAGATATTGGTGAGCGGCCCACGCAACGACATCAGGAGTCTCATCTCGCGCATGGAGGCATCGCTAGAGTCACTTAACGCATGGTTCTGCGCACACGCCCTGAAAGTCAACGCTTCTAAAACTCAACTGATGGTATTCGGTAGCCGACAAAACCTACGTAACCTGCCTCGCTTCAAAATCTCTTTCCGTGACGCTGAGCTCCTGCCGTGCGCGCAGGTGGGAAACCTGGGTGTTGTATTCGACGGCGCACTCACCTGGGAAGCACACTTGGCCGAGCTGAGCCGTCGCTGCATGGGCGTACTGATCGGCCTCTCCCACGCACGACACTGCCTCCCAGACGGTATCCTCAAAACGATCGTGACTGCACTCGTCATCTCGCGCGTCCAGTACTGCCTCACTGTATATGGAAATGGCTCCCAGAAAAACTTCGACCGACTCCAAAAAATTCTAAACTTTGCAGCACGGGTCATATTCGGCCGCCGGAAATTCGATCACGTCTCTGGCCTCCGCGATTCACTCGGATGGATGCCTCCGAAAGCTATGGCCGATGTTAAAACCATGGTAACTGCGCAGAAAATAATAAGCAACGGCGAGCCCGAAGCACTAGCTGCCATCTTCACGAATAACAGTGACGCGCGAGAGAGATCCACTCGACAGGACCACCTTTTCCACCTTCCACGCTCGCGGCTCGAGACTGGCAAGCGACGATTCGGCTACCGGGCCGCGGCGCTGCTCAACAGTCTGCCTCCCGGTGTCATCGAACAGCGCCCCGCCCAATTCGCCCGTGCGGCCAAGGCTGCAGCCTGTCCGGCGATGGCGACCGCCCGACGATGACCCGTGTCAGGGGAAGGAGGTGCGACATCCGTGTGCGGTGTGCTGTCTTGAATCGTCCGTTTGTATATAGAGAGAGCGAATGTCCAGCGATTGAATCTGTATGCCTGTGTTTCTTGTCCCCGCATGTTTTTGTTTGTGCCCGACTCAGACTCTGGACTGTAATCGTAGTAAGGATGGTAGAAAGGATGCAGCCAGGGTTGTGCCTGACTCATGAGTCGAGTCAGAAATTTGACTCAACTGTGACTCAAATGAGTCAGCTTTGAGTCGAGTCGGATAAAATGTTGAGCTGTTGAGTTGAGTCAGAGTTGAGTCAGACAAAAATATTAAGGCGTTGAGTTGAGTCAGAGTTGAGTCAGTAAAATAGCTTTTGACATTGAGTTGAGTCAAACATTTAGGAACATGAGTCAGCTGACTCAACTTTCTAGAAACAAGCTTTTGATCCCCCCCCCCCCGCTTAACAACTTCGCCCTGGCCCTGCTGCCGGATTTTTTTTTCACCCCGCCCCCGCTCAACAACTTTTTTATCTGAGTCAATTTTGAGTCAACTCACTTGACTCAACAAAAAAAAATTGAGTCAAGTTTGAGTCGACTCATATTTTCATTGAGCCGCTTGAGTCATGAGTCGAGTCAAGGAAAAAATCAGCTCCTTGTTTGAGTCAGAGTTGAGTCAGGGCTTTCTGAAGTTGAATGATAAGTCGAGTTGGTAATTTTTTTTGAGTCGAGCACAACCCTGGATGCAGCTACCCTATAAAAATGACCGCAAGACAATCGCTCTAGCCGTTGCTGAGATATGGGCCTCTCAAAATCATTACTTTTGCAAAACTGCTTGAACACCCTTGACTTTTCACGTGGCACGTGCCACGACGGTCACTGAGATGTATCAAAAGTAGTCAATTACGGGGTAGAAGGGATGGGGCTACCCAGCAAAAAAGACCGCAGGCCAATCGGTCCAGCGGTTGCTGAGATATAAGCCTCTCAAAAGCGTTACAGGCCGGGCCGGGCCGGGCCGCTCATACTGAGATTTTTCCGTTATATTGAAAAGACTTCGCTTCGCTCGCTGCGCTCGCTCGCTCGTAATCAACGAGAGAGTGTCTAGCCACAGGGCAGAATTGAATCACACCTCATCGAGCTTAGATACCAGTTCTCATGGAGATGAATCTCACCTTCTCACGAAGTTGGGCCTCTGTGCGCGCAGCCGAGCCTGTGACCTCATCCAGGCTGCGAGCGGCCGCCTCGAGTTGCGAGGTCAGTTCGCTGACCCGGCTCTGGGTCACAGTGAGACTCTCGTTGAGGGAGCTCTGGTCCGACAGCTGGCTGGTGTACTGCGGGGGACGGGGGATGAAGTAAGTAATACCGTTATCAGTCACGTCCAATAAAAGGGGTTCTGAGTCATTAATGATTTGTAACTATAAGCTTGCCTTATACAACACGAGTTTAACTATTTGTATAAGCTCGTGAGAGTTTACACAAGCTCTCACGAATACAAGTCAAGAGTATTCACCGATTTGAGACAAACGTGCGGCTTCTCCAAAATCAAACAACTTACTACCTTTCATTATCGCACACGAAAATGGGATTCCTAAGCAAGACCACAACCTTATGAGAACAAAGATAAGTTGGAACGGTTTCAGTTTTGAAATCACCGACGCTCACGACTGATGAGGGGCAGAGCAAATGCGGATTTATTCTTTTAAAAATGCGAGTCAAGCCTCACCGTCTCCACGCGGCTGGTGAGCTGTGCCCTCTCCTTGCCGAAGCTCTCCTCCAGCGCTGTCCTGTCCCGCTGCGCCTGCCGCAACTGCTGCTGCAGGCTCTCCAGCTGGGTCTCCAGCTGAGTGCGGCGCCGCCGCTCCTCCTCAGCCTGAGCGCGGGCGACCCGCAGCTCCTGGACGACAGGACGGCAGCGGGTCAGACCGGGACTCGAACGGTGTAGATACAAATATAGGAGAGGTTACGGCAATGGGCGAATGACCGTACAATCTGGCTTATCTCAACGGGTGGTAAATTCACCGAAGAGTAATGGATGAAAGCAACAGATAAGTAATTAGAACTTAAAATGATTGAACCTAAGGTAGTCGGTAGTCTCACCCAGCAAGAATAAGGGTTATCCTACAATTTTCCCAGTTATTTTTACGCCCCTTCGCCCTAAAAAAAAAAAATGATATCTCGGCTCCAAAACCTGCAGCATCTCATGCTATTTGACTGACAAGGATAGCTTGTGTTGGTAGATGCGCCACAATGGAAAAGTTAAATGGCGCTCCTGTGTTTGTCAGAAAATCAGTATATCATTGTTGACCGAAGTATATGCTACCTCATCGTTCTGTTTCTGTGTGGAGAGAAGCTGCGCAGCCGATGACTCGGCGGTCGCTAGCGCCTTGGTCTTCGCACTCAGGTCCGCCTTCAGTCCGGCGATTTCATCCAGCTGGTTAGCATTTGTGGCGTTTAGAGCTATCAACTGTAATCACACAAAAACACATGCACAATATAATGTTAAATTCTACAATGCAAATGTCAAACACAGCGTGCCAGCAGTGCTATAAAAACACGACTATCGGTCCTCTAATGTTAGCATACTACGAGCACTCGTTATAAAATAGCATGCAAAGTTGTACAGGAACGACCAAGAAAGGGGGTTTCAGCGCCAGTTGTTTGCGATTCAGCTAAAAAGGGAAACCACACAAAAATCACAGCGGTAAAAAGCACACCACGCATTGTCTGGCACAGCACCATAACGCAACCAACACTTCGTTTCACAGTTAGTGTTTTTTTATTTCTTCCCTTTTTACATATTTGGCTTAGAATGACCAACAAACGACTCTAAATCCGGTTTGGCAGGTGACTCGCGTAGTCAGCACATAATGACAACAGAACCTGTCAGTAAAATAAATAAATAAATAAATAAATAAATAAATAAATAAATAAATAAATAAATAAATAAATAAATAAATAAATAAATGAACAGATCACCAATGTCCGACGCGCTCTCGCCTTCCCCAACCCGCACCCACCATCCGTCCCTCTTCGAGCGCTCACGCCAACTGGCAGGTGTGCGCCAGGCTGACCTCGTGCCCGGGTCAGGTAGCGCCCCGGGCGACGAACGGACGAGTCTCTAGAGATCAGTCGCGTTGCGCAGCTCATAGACAAGACAATATGGTCCTTACGGGCACACATGACACACAGGTGGGCAATAACATCAAACGCCATACAAGAATTTTAATATATCAAAAATTAAACCAGGCATTAGAATCGAAAGCTTTAGCACAGCGGACTAACTCACAATATAATAATTTCAATAAACGTTAATCGCTACCTATGGGCTACGTAATAATTTATAATTGGTTCATTGAGTGACGCGGCCATGACACGTTGCCCGCCGGTACCGGCAAACGGATGAATAGCCTCCCGTGACATGACCGTACAGCATTGTTTTATTTTTTAGGAGTGACGGTTTCTAGACCGGTATCTCGAGCCCGATGTGGCTCACCACGTCCTTCACTTGATACAGGTGACAATGAGAGCGATGACTGCGCGCATGGGCTGCTTGCAGCCATAAAATCACAGACCGCGCCGACTGAAACGCTTCATGACATGTCCGGCATCAACAAGCGACTCCGTCCGTTACCTACCAGTCGTTGCCCCGCTCGCTGGCTCAGCTTTCCGCATATGTTTGCACAAACGCTTTATGTTATTTGGTAAGATTACCTTCCCGGTTCCTTATACGCTCAAGTCCCAAACAAAACCGACCGGTTACCAACTATCTTCCTGGATATTTTCTAAAACCCTCTATGACAATCGATGGGCTTCTTTAGTTAGAGATCATCGACAATAAGTCCGATCTTAAGCGACACCAAAACCGACACCAATGCTTCACTCAGGGTCATTGATCGTAATCGTTAGTTGTTACCTTTATCTATTGCATTGCCAGAATCGATGGATGCAGTTTCAGATAGTTAACGGCGCAGTCCGCGGAAGTCGCAATAATGAAGGGTCGAAATATATCGTGATTGCAACTCGTGAGCATGCAGTCAAAATGGATCGTAAGCCGGTTCGATGTACGTTACCGCGTCTCGCCACGCTCTCTTCCGGCAGACGGCAGTCGAGTCAAAGCTTAGCCATCTCCCCCACCTCCTCACTTCGAGACCTTTCCCATCCCTCCAGCCCAGCCGAGACACGGGGCCAAACACTCATACACTCACACTGACATAAGCCAACACACTATTGCACAACTTGACACAAATTAAGGCCACGATCAAAATCCCCAAACGCTATAACCAGGGTTGTGCTCGACTCAAAAAAAAAATTGCCGACTCGACTCATCATTCAACTTCAGAATGCCCTGACTCAACTCTGACTCAAACAAGGAGCTGATATTTTTCCTTGATTCGACTCATGACTCAAGCGGCTCAATGAAAATATGAGTTGACTCAAACTTGACTCAAATTTTTCGTTGAGTCAAGTGTGTTGACTCAAAATTGACTCAGATAAAAAAGTTGTTGAGCGGGGGGGGGGTGAAAAAATCCGGCAGCAGGGCCAGGCCTAAGTTATTAACCGGGGGGAGAATGAAAAACTTATAATACTGTATATTGTTTCTAAAAAGTTGAGTCAGCTGACTCATGTTCCTAAATGTTCTTGACTCAACTCAATGTCAAAAGTTATTTTACTGACTCAACTCTGACTCAACTCAACACCTTAATATTTTTGTCCGACTCAACTCTGACTCAACTCAACAGCTCAACATTTTAACCGACTCGACTCAAATCTGACTCATTTGAGTTAGAGTTGAGTCAAATTTCTGACTCGACTCATGAGTCAAGCACAACCCTGGCTATAACTACTAAACATACCTGATTTTTCAGAGTGACGAACTCGGCGGCATTGATGCCCGAGAAATCCTTGTCCCTGAGGAAGGCTGAGGTCTGTTGGAGCTGCTGCTGAAGAACAGTGATCTCCTGAGCGAGCTTCTGCGCCTCCTGGTGCGCCGACTGCTGTAGCTGGTCGCGCTGCTGGATGGTCGACTGCAGGCTCGACGACAGGCGCGAGATGTAGTCATCGCGCTTCTGGATCGCCTCCTGGTACTCCTGCAGTCTCTGGTTCACCTCCTCCATCGCAAACACGACAGCATGCCACTAACGTATTTGTATCAGATGCCTTCCTTGAAGATGCATACCTCAAATGGACACCTGTAAAAGAACAATGATTAAACGACATAAGTTTACGAATCACATCAACTGATATATTAATATGGAAATTCACAAGAAATATATTGTTTTAGGCATGGGCCAAAGCTAACCCCTGATCCTTGGGACCAAAGTTGCAAAGTTGGTACTCCTTTTGTGCTGCAACAATACAGCAGGTGACCGAGCACTGGGCAGGCATTACAAATATGTATGTACCTAGTTAGGTACCAAGTTGGTCGGCAGCATGGGTGGTAGCATCTCATAATTGCTTGATGTTCAAAATATTGTTAATATTCATGCAATACCTCGCAGTTGTCTCAGCCCATGATAGTGCTCTTTTCTTTTATACGTACTTCATCTCTAGCAAATCAGACTGGAAAAATATATGTTACCGTTGATATGTCTAGGCGTAACGGTCTAGGCGATGGAGCCGAAATTTTGGCGCTAACGGAAGTTTTAAGAAATTTCAGCAAACAACGACAAGATCTAAACTCAGCTCACTTCAACTTCACTCGCTATACTCTACATTTGAATCATGCCCCGTGTCGATGACGGGTATGTAATGGTCATACGAGGCCACCCGTCCCAGACTCAACCCCCTTGGTTGACATTTGCAACAATCAAGTCCATTGAAAGTCCTCTTGGTTTTATTGTTTTTTTTTTCAGTCCCCAGATGATTGGGACTAGGGCGTCACTCGGCTTGTTGGTCTTCGAGCTCCTAACCACTGAAGTTGCGTCTGGAGTGGACTGTACCCGGATGAGGCGACTGGCGTGGGTTTCACAGGGCTCAGGAGGACTGATCGGATTGCTAGGGCCGAGGAACCTGCCCATGCCCTGTAGTGTAACGTAGGTACTAGGTAGTGTGTGACTACATTCCGGAGATAGTTTGCTCACTGAGTCGTCTGATCAAGAGAAAACCAATCCAATTCAACATATTTATGAACGACATGCCCGGTCAGGTCTCCGGCCGCATCAAGCTGTTTGCCGACGATACCAAACTGCACCGCCATGTGCCCATGTGACTGGAGACCCTGCCGAGTTCCATGCCAACATCGACGCCCTCGTCCGCTGGTCAAACGAGTGGAAGCTGCCACTTTGGAGTTTGGAGCGAGTCGAGGTTTCAGTTTGGAAGGTAGGTATTCTCTTAGCAGACGTCACCCTTCCTGCCATATCTAGTTCAAGTTAGGTAGGTCGTAGGTTGGTAGGTTGTAGGTTGGTAGGTTGTAGGTCTAGGTAGGTCAGGTTGTAGGTGTGAGGTAAGGTTAGGTCAGGTTAGATTATGTTTTGTGATACATTTGACTGTGAAAAGACAATTGCAGTGCACGTGAGATGTAAATACTGATATGGCAGCAAGGGCAACGTCTGCTAAGAGTACCGAACTCTGAACTCATGGCCAAAAAGCATTATTGTTCAACCTGCCTTTAATCCAGTCTTGATTTGCCATCAAACTTTTGGTATCAATGGGGCAAGCATCCCACATCACCAACAGCTTTGTTGTATAAAGAGGCAAGTGCATTATTGGGGCGAATATGTGCATGAATTACGTGAGAAGGTACCAGTAATACTCAGACATGATAATCACGTAACTTTCTACGCAAATCGTGTTAAATTTTGCCGCAAAACCGCTTACGCCGAATTTCGGCGCATAAGAAATCCGAGGCGCCCGGCAAAGTGGCCTTGGGCAAAGTATTTGGATTTTTTAACCAGTCCAGTCGGGGAAACTATGGTAAAATCTGCTATTTTTAGCAGTCTGCTATTTTTAGCAGAAATCTGCTAAAAATGGGTACGCATGTGACGTCATCGTACCCAAATATAGCAGATTTGGGTACGGCCCCATACAAAAGCAGATCTGCGCCCTAATTGAAGCAAATGCGCATCAAATGCCTGGCAGATTCATGATTAGAATAGTGCTGCGAATGTCCTCTGATATTTTTGTTCAGATCCGACTATTTTCAAATAATGAATTTGAAAATAGTCGGATCTGAACAAAAATAGCAGAGAACACTCTCAGCACTATTCTCATCGTGAATCTGCCAGGCATTTGATGCGCATTTGCTTCAATTAGGGTGCAGATCTGCTTTTGTATGGGGCCGTATCCAAATCTGCTATATTTGGGTACGATGACGTCACATGCGTACCCATTTTTAGCAGATTTCTGCTAAAAATAGCAGACTGCTAAAAATAGCAGATTTTACCATAGTTTCCCCGACTGAGTCTGCCTCAGCCTGGCATGCAAATTCTTGCAAGCTTCAAGATATTGATATAAAAAAGGCCAAATGCAACTTGCTTCTCGTTGTTTTAACCGTCTAATTTATAGAATGATCACCGTCATCTAAGGTCGACCGAGCCATAGGTCAAATAAATTCACAAATTCATCCAACATACCACCACGACCGCGAAAGCAGGGCTCTGGTATTAACTGAGGGCTGTTCACGGACCCTGTGTGCGGTCGGACCGCACACAGCCTCCAAGCTCCGCCCACTGCGTCCCTACGTCAGCCTTGCGTCACCGCACACAGCGACCGCTGTGGCCGGTCGGAGGGCTGTTCACGGACCCTGTGTGCGGTCGGACCGCACACAGCCTCCAAGCTCCGCCCACTGCGTCCCTACGTCAGCCTTGCGTCACCGCACACAGCGACCGCTGTGGCCGGTCGGGACTGGCCACAGCGGACCGTCCACCGCACGCAGCCGTGACGTCAGAGCCGCCTACCCATCCCCTACCCCCACGCCTGCTGGACGCACCGCACACAGCGCACGCAGCAGTGTGCGGTGCCCGTGAACACCCCTCTGCTGGAAACTAAAAATAAGAAGGAGTAATTTTCAATCAATATTATATATAAAGATGAACAGAACTATGATACAACATCAAATGAGGAAACAAGCCTTAATATTTATCAAACCAAGCACAATATTGTTTCGTAATTGGCTGGTGCTCCTTCGTTCCTAGGCAACGGTTTCAAACAAGCTTCTCCTTTTTTCTCAGTTGTTTTTCAGTCTTGTGTTAGTTCTTGCCTCTTGGTTAGTTCTATTCCTTATATTCCGAAGGATATTCCAGCATATTCCGTGCTTGTGTTGGTGGGAGACGGGTGTTGATAGATAGTGGAGACAGCAGTGTGCGGTGCCCGTGAACACCCCTCTGGATAATTCGCCAGCTGACGCCGTATGGTGGCGCTAGTGGAGCAGCACCATATGACGTCAGCAGAAAACACCGTGAGCAGCTATGAAATGGGAGCGAGCACCACGGAAATATCGAAAGGTGATGGACATGTACTGACTTTGGTCATTCAAGTACCACCAACACCATACAAAAACCAAATAGTATCATCAAGACTGATTCTGGAATCGATTCGTTCGGGTATTTAAAACACACAAAAAATGTTTGTTACCGAATTCTGAAACAGTATAAGGATATTCTTGTTCCTTACTTTTACCTTGTGGAGTACTTTTACTTGCTTTCTAGTGCGCCCATCACTATCTTGAAATCTGGATTGCAACGCTGTAGGAAAACTTTTTTTTTCATTTGTCATTTCTTCCACTTTTGAGCAGTGATAATTTATTTGGTTTTATACATTAAATAATGAAGACGGCTCCTAACTTTTTAGGGATCTGCAGTGGCCCAGAGAGCAAAATCAGATATTTTCTAGAAACTTGAGGCCACTATTTTCTTACCTGCTAGATAATATACAAATATTGACATGTAAAGAATGATACGGGTGTATTATTCTGCAGAAATATCAATTCAAAGTATTTAAATTTTTCAAGAACCTTTTTAAAATCTTACATAATGACTTCTTTTAATACAAGCTGGAAGCAATTTCAATCAATAAAGCAGCACAAGGCAGTACATTGAGCTACGATGATCCATAACCAATCGGCACCTGCAATTTGATTGATCTTCGAGATGTACCCTGCCTCTGTTCCCTGACTTTCCCTTTTCGTTGTAACGGGTGAAGTGAATATTCTGTGAATATTCTTCTGACAGTCAGTTTTTAGTCCTACATTACGTTGTCAATCAGATTTAATTGGTTCAAAAACCGTCGTAGTCCGTCTCATTCGCAGTCTACATCTCCACATGCGCACCCATACATGCTCAAAATTTTCACTACGCATGTACTATGTACCCTGTAGCGTATCCTGATGAAAAATGTTTTGTTGAAATCAGAGACACTTCCCAAGGTAGGCCATAGTCCATGGCCATATATTTAAGTCAAAACAGATGAAACAGATAAACACAATTCCAATCATCAAGTCAACCAGCATCGACAATCTGCACATAAGTTCTAAACCTATTGTAAGACTACATTGTATTCAAACTTTGTATTGCAGAAGGGTGGAAGCTGCATGGAATTATGCGACAATTTCAGCGTGCATCCACGCTCGAAAGAGCAGGGTTAATTGTAACAATGTCAATACCATAACAATAACGTAATTGTAGGTGTTGTGATTCGGTTGTCTCTTGTCTGTGCTGGCCATTGCGCGGGCGGTCCAGCGGCGGAACTCGGCTTCGCCGCCGTGGCGCGCTGGCAGTTGCTTCTTCTTCTTCTTCTGCATCCCATCGCCAACTCGCTCAGGGGGGCGGCGGCGCAGGCGGGTCGAGCGGCGGCTCGGTCCGCCCAACATCCTCGATGAAGGTGACGACCTTCGTCGCCGGGCCGCCGAGGACGTCGACCAGGCGAGGGTCGACACCCCAGCGGCGGCGGCGGGCCGCCTCATAGGCCGGACAATCGGTCAGTAGGTGCGCCGCGCTGTCGGGCTCCCCGCACGCGGGGCATTCGTCGTCGGCTTCCGGGCCAATCTTGTGGAGCGTGTCACGGGTCAGCGGTGATGTGCCGGTCCTCAGCTGGGACAGCGTCACCGACCCCAGCGCGCCAGGGAGTCGTGGCCAGGCGTGGGGTCCGGGTGCGGGTGGGCAGCAGTTGCCCTCTGTCGCGACAGCTCTCGGACATGGCGCGTGACGGCGGCCCGCGCACTCGACAGGTCGATCGGTGCGCTGTCTTGGTCGCCCGCCGTGGCCTCGCCAGCCAGGCGGTCGGCGGTTTCGTTGCCGTCCAGCCCGGCATGGCCTGGCACCCACTGGAGCACCGTCTCGGTGCCGTTCTCGGCGAGGGTGCTCAGCACTCAGCAGCCTCCACACCTCGGCGGCCAGGGCCATGGTCTGGTTAGCTGGGCCGCGGCCGAGTAGTTGGAGCCCAGACCTTGAGTCGGTGAGGAGGCGGACCGACTTGGTCGATGCCAACTCCCCGTCCCCCAGGCCGGCCACAGCCGCGAACGCCTCGCGCATGGCGGTCAGTTCTGCTCTTAGGCTGGAGCAGACCGCCCCTGCAGGAGCGCGCACGGTCCCTTCTCTGTTGAGGTGGTGGAACTGGATCAGCGCCTGCGCCGCCCTGTTCCGTCCGCCGCGAGCCGAGCCGTCCGACCAGATAGTGACGTCCGGGTGCGGGAGCTCTGCAATGGCTCGCAGGGCAGCTTCCCTGCGGACTGCAGGCGGGTCCGACCGGCAGGTGGCCACGGGCAGGTCCACCCTGAAGGTGATGCCGCCGCGGTGGCCCAGCCATGGCGGGTCGCAGCTGTAGAACGCCGAACCTGTAACACAATAGAATTGCAATTGTAACAAAGACCTGCATGGTCAGCACACATCTGCAGTGACTGTCATCCCAAGTTGGTATGAATTGGCACAAAGTTGGGTCATGGTAGCAGACGTAGCACAAGCTGTTGTGATATGTCATACCGTAGGACTAGGTCGTAGGTTGTAAATTTTAGGTTTAAGGCTGTATGTTGTAGGTCAGGTCAGGTAAGGTTTGGTTAGAAAGACCCATTCTCGTGCATCGGGCAGCTTGTGCTACATCTACCTTACCAATACCCAATTTGGATTCCCAAAATTGATGGCAAACAGGCTTTTTGTATAACAAGTGTGGTTAATTGTTCTAATCCCCGCTGCAATGTGAGGGTAACTGCTTTTCTACAATCACAAAATTTGAATTCATATAGGTAGGTGTTTACATGTTGATGTTCAGAAAATGATACAAAATATGACACAATTATAGCTGCAACTGGATAGTGGATACCAACCTCAACTAAAAGTTTCTGCAGCCTTATAACCTAACAAATGACTAAATTGCCAAAATAAATCCCTTAGTACAATAGCTTGACTCTAAAATAACAGAAATTTAGCATGCAGACCCTGAAATGGAGGGTTTATGAAAAGCAACAAAAATAAACATTCACTAATATCAATATGTTGTTATAAATTTCATATGTAGCATAAGCGCCAATACTGCCTTCATTTACAATGTTGCTACTGTTTTCCACTCACAAACGCTGCCCTCCGTGGACAGCAGCAGCAGCAATGAAACGTCACCCGTGGTGTGACATCATCACCCATGACGTAATGGAAATCCAGTTGTTACCAAGGCCCCGAAAGCACCGCACTGACCGCACCCACAACAGTCAACAACCAAAGCCCGCCAACGCGGCAGAGTCTGTGCTTCCAAGTAGTGTTCATGAAGTTCTTGTTGAGAGCTCGTTGCCCAGGCAACTGGCGGTTATGCGTGATCTTTTGGCTTAAAATTTCCGCTGTTGCCTGAGCAACCTGCGGTTTATTGTGTTTTTCGGTATCAAAGTAGCGCTTAACCTGCTAGTGAACAGCATCTATGTATTTCTTGCGCTGAAAGATGTAAACTGTAAACAATTTGAGCGAAACAGCATGCCGTAGCCCAAGCCGAGGATTTTCACGGTACGTTAATACGGATTTTTATTTAAAATCATTCCCGTTTTAAAATTATTTTCGGCAGGTTTTGTAGACAAAAATAGTGCTTCAATAAAATATTGTATGTTTAATAATGCTAGGTGGTAGCTTCGTACCTTAATACAATGTTTACAATGGATCCCATTATTTCAATTTACAGATTGAGATGTAATTGATGCCTTTGTTTTAAAGCCATTTCCTAATAAATGTTGAGTTTTTTAGTATTATTAGGTAGGTGCTCTAAGAAAACAACCAACTATCAATTTTGGGCACTGCGGAAACGTGCCCTCAAAATGTGCAATTGCCTCCCTGCCCCTTGAACCCCCCGTGGTTGGTAGGTACCTATCTTTCCAAGAACAAGGAAGGAGGCTTTAAGTTGTCTTGAAATTTAGTTACCCACTTGTACATCATTTGATTCTCAATGTGTCCAATTTCATTTCAGTTTAAGTTATGCCATCAATCTGGCATTGAAGTAGCTGGCCTGCCGCTGCTGCCGCAATGGGTGTCAAGGGCCTGTGGTCTGTGCTTGAGTCTGTGGGCGAACCATGCCCGCTGTCAGAACTGGCTGAGCGCACAGTGGCCGTGGACCTCAGCGGCTGGGTGGTAGAAGCTGAGACAGCCAAGGCATTGGCAGGCGCTGTCAACCAACCATACCTGCGTAACCTGGTGTACCGCACCACTGCACTGCTCCTGCAGCACACACTGCCTGTGTTTGTGCTGGACGGAGCGGCACCCACCCTGAAACTAGCGGAGATGGCTCGGCGGCAGGGCGGCGCGGCCACTGGCGGTGGTCGTCAGCAGCTGCGCGGCCGCCTGCGGCGCTGCGCCCGCCTTCTGGACGCTCTGGGCGTGCCACACGTCACCAGCGACGGCGAGGCAGAGGCGCTGTGCGCGCGGCTCGACGCCAGCGGCCGTGTCGATGGCGTGGTGAGCGACGACGTGGACGCGGCACTGTTCGGCGCACGCACTCTGTACCGCCGTCTGAACGCTGGCAAAACGGGCGGAGAGGCGACGCGCTACTCGCTGCAGCGGGTCCGCGACGAGCTCGGCCTGGACTGCCAGCATCTCCGCGAGCTGGCGCTGCTGCTGGGCTGCGACTTCCTGCCGGCCGGCCTGCCGGGCCTGGGCCTGCAGGTCTCCCAGCAGCTGGTGCGCCGGCTGGACGGCCGCCCGCTGCTGCCACAGCTCTCAGACTGGCTGCGGCAGCCCCCGCTCAGCACCATGCCGGCAGTGGGCGAGCTGGGCCGCGCTCCGAGCCACTGCGTGCGCTGCGGCCACCCGGGCACGGAGACACGTCACCGGCGCGACAGCTGCGCGCTCTGCGACACTGTGGACGGCTGCACGGCCGCCGCCGAGTCGGCCGTCTGCCCGTGCGAGTGGCACCGGCAGCGGCGCAACGCCGAGAAGTACTCTGCCGAGCTGAAGGCGCGGGACTGCGCGCGCCGCTGTCCGGAGTACGAAGCTGCCGCTGCCGCAGCGGAGAGCGAGCTGAAGCGCTCGGCGCCGCTACCGGAGTGTGACATCACCTGGAGACGGCCCGACCTGGCCCAGTTCACCACCCTGGCCGGTGAGGAGCTCGGCTGGACGGAGGAGCAGAGTCGGAAGGTGGCCGCGCCGCTGCTGGCCCGCTGGCAGCTGCGGCATGGAGGAGGTGGCGGCGAGACGAGCCCTCTGCGAGCCATCCAAGTGGTGCGCTTTTCCAAGCACCACCACATCGACTGCTACCTGGTGCGCTGGCGGCTGGACGGCTGCCCGGAGGAACTGGAAACCCACGAGCCGCGGCCCCTTGTGGAGGCCGCGCTCAAACCGCTCATCGATGCCTTCCTCGAGACCAAAAAGCCGAAGAAGGCAGCGCCTCGGCGGCCACGGAAGACGAAGGCGGCTGCAGGGGCTGGACCCCAGGCCAAAGTCGCTACCGGCAGTCCGTCTAAACTCATCACCGACTTCTTCCCGATCAGGAAGAAGGCGGCGCCGGTGGTGGGGAAGGGGATATCTCCCTCAGAGGCGGCGGCATCATCATCAGCTGGCGGAACTACGCCTAATCCTGGTGAGATTCCTTTCATGGACATCTCCTAGTTCCCAAATCACGGGTCATATATATATCACGGGTGGCATATCCCCTGTCTATAATTTGTTTTGAATATGTTTCTCCCGATTTTTACACCTCGTATTGCACGCTCAACGTTACATTAAGACTGCATACATCTTATATGTATACGGCTATTTGGAGTAATTACGATTTTACTTATTTTCTTCGCAAGTCTTGTGAAGCTGAGATCGGCTGTGCTAGATTGGTGTGAGCTTTAATGGCTAACTTTTATTGTTTGCAATGCACTAATGTGGTTGTTAAGTTGGATCTTTAATGTGGTGTTTTTGGTAGCTGTATTCTTATTGTTAGATGGGATGAATATTTATCTTTTATTTTAGCCCAGCTTTAATGCTTTACACAAGGATTTTACTGTAACGGCACTTATGCTTCAACATTGCACTGTGTGTCCGTTTGACCCTCTGCCCCGCTTGGTGTGATTGTATCAGCTTGGTTTACTGCTCAGACTTGGTAACCGCTCAGTTTACCGTTCAGACTCTGCATCTGGTCCTGTGTACGCTCACATAGCTCCGAACCTTTTCCTTCCCGACGCCTTCTCAGATCCCTCGACTGCTCCGAGACGCCGAGCCGCCGGCGCGCGTCATGCCATGTCTCCGGAGTCGCCCGACTTGCCGAGACGCGGTCGAGCCGGAGACTCTCCGGCCTCGACCGACTCCGACGACTCCAGCCGCCCGAGCGAGGAGCTCGACTCTGACGGCAGCATCGCCGACTTGTCCGCCATCATCGACGCCATCACCCGGACACACATCGCTGATGACGCCGTCATTGTCATCAGTGACGATGATGACGATGTCCTGGAGGTCAGTGAATGTGTGCCGACCTCCCAAAGTCGCGCGCGGGACCCTGCCGAGCTGGGGACGGCCAACCGAGTCGAACCCGAGGCCTCCTCTATTGGTGACATTAGTGGGAAGGCGGCTCCTAGCCTCAATGATCCACGCTGTAGGCTGACGAGTAACGGTAGTGCCGTGGTGTCCCGGATCTCTAAGACAGCGTGTCCCACTAGTGGGCCTGGTGGAGGAAGGGCGGAGAGGAGGTTTAGGGATGGACAGAGCTCGAATGCCTCGAGTGAGGGGGTGTTGAGTCCTGCCTCCCCGGTTAGCAGTACTGTGTCTCCGTCTGTCGCAAACACAGAGACCGTGTCAGATTCAGATAGTGATACGGAGTATGTGCCTTTGTTCAGAAGACTCGCGCTGGCGTAGCCGGAAGTCTATGCTTATTCTCATTCATGCCTGCTGTACATCATACATGCTATGCGTAGTCATACCTTGATGCCCACTTTGGCACATTATCGAATCGAATCATCTTCTTTTCGTTTGTTCTATATCATAATTTATCATCTTCTCCATCAGTACAGAGCTGTCTGATCATGCTATGTGATTGCATGCAATACAAATGTGATTTGTATAGTTTATTTCGTATGACTTATCTGGGCCCACGTACCTACCTATTCACCAATTTGTCTTATACCTATTGTAAAATATCGGCCGCGCGGCGCACACTCAAGTGCACAGTGCACATTCGGCCAGCAAGATTGCGAAGAGGTTGACCGAATCGTGCCCAAATATGCTTTGCAGTGACCGGCCTTCTGAATTTAATGGAACTTGTAAAAGTTGGTGTGTGGTGCGATTGTAATAGCCCTAAGCCCACCACATATTCCAACCCTAGACAGCTCATGAACCGAGTCGGACTTAAGTAAGAAACCGGTTGGAATCGTCTTGGTGAACCTACCTTCTCTTGATACCGTGTCAGTGGCAGAAACCTATAGGGAACCATAGTTAACCAGGCACCACATCCAACCAACCAAGTAACCTAGTTGACTTTTCCTCCGTCTACAGACATTGTCGCACCTCGTGTATCACTTGGACTCAGTATAATGTTCCCCATTGGTACAATGTGTACAGCTGGAAACTCGTTTAAAAAATATGTGAAAGTACCGATTTAATATTACAAGGCTTGAAGGCAAAACATTTTTCAACTAATAGTCATCAAATGCGTTGTCACTTTTGTCATTGGTGTCGATATGGCGCAGTCACAAGACATTCAACTGAACTTTGCTCGAAAATAAGAATAAATTGTCTATTTTAAGTAGTCACCCTCTCCCCCCTCCACCCCCCCCCCCCCCCCCGAGTCCACAGCGAATTATAAACATCCTAGGGCGACTATCTGAATTTTCCTCGCTTCATATCAGTTGAGTACAGAAATCCACCCGACTTTAAACTGTGTATTCGTGGAGCACTCCATCAGGCATATTTTTTCTCGGTCGTCTTCGTAACCTTTGACCGGCAATAATCCGTAATGCACGCGGCTCGCGCTATGTCGCTGCTGCCTTACATCAGCTGTCCTGCGGGGGGGGGGGCAGGGTCCTTCGGCTTCGCCACTCGTGACAGGGGGCGGGGTTCATAGTCTATCGTCACTGGACCCCTGGCGCAGTTAGAGACTGACCTGGGCTAACTCGGCCCCTGGGACTGGCTGGTCTCTGGGGTGCAGGCTCAGTCGGTCTATAAATGTATATTGCATAATGTGTATATGTAATACTGGGGATATGTGGCTGTGTTTGAGGGAGCGCTGCGTTAGCTGCCGCTGGCTACATTTCTGATAGTGGACGGGAGGGTAGTGGACTTTGACCTACACTCGCCATGGCAGAGGGTGGGATTAGTAGGTACTCTGATAAGTGTGACGGTAGCGCTCCTATTGTGATAGGTGTGATGGTAGCGTTCAGATTGTGATGTTCCCGAAGGACTGGTGATTGTGCGGCTCGAAAGATAGGCGTCACTGCTACCCGCTCTTATGGATTATTTCTGTCACGTTCGGGCGTGCCTGATGTTCTGATACGGTTTTCTTCTCAGCCGAATGCATACCATGGATCGCCTGACTCCCCTCTCTTTCGCTAAAGCACGGCTTAGTGTCTTCATGCCTCCCCCCCCCGCTAAAGCACGACTCGGTGTCTCACGCCCTCGCACCTTCCCCCCCCCCCCCCCGCTAAAGCACGGCCCAGAGTCGCACGTCCTCGTGCCTTCCTCTCGCTAAAGCACGGCCCTGGGTCGCTTGTCCCGGACGGGATCGTTGTCGTTTATAGAGGTCGCCACGGTAGAATCCGGGTACAGGCGAGAGCCGGGGAGGCTGTGGAACGTGCCGCAGAACTGCATACGTGCCGGTGGAGTCTCACAGGACGTGGATGCCTTCACGCCTTGTTTGTGTCGGGAAAGAGGGACACTCCCTGCCACCGCATCGGTCGCCGTTTTCATCCGGGGTCGATTTTTAGCCAAAACATGATTTTCTGTGATTTCTTAGATTGAAATCAGTCATAGTAACGACATAAATTCATCGCTCATTTGTCACCTGGATCTGAGCTTCTTCGGTAAATAAGACTAGCTCATTCCTCACCAAGAGCAGTGCGATTTGAGTGTTTCATGTTTGTCGATCTTATCAGATATCTCGCTTCACTTGCCGCTTAAAGCTAAAAGTAAAATGATCTTGTTTGGAAGGTTGAGTTCAGTTAGTTGACTGCGCTCGGGCTACGCAAAAGTTACACGGCATCATGAGAAACTGCTAGAGAATGCATAATGGGCGTTTTGCAAACCTCCCAACTTCGCTACGATCATGCCCGGTGGGCAAAGTGATAAAACGAGGAACATAATCGCAGGAATCAGGACAAGAAGGCGGCAGTAAGGAATAAATGCCCACTTTTCCTCTCACGTTCAATTTCACTTCAATCATGATGTGTACGATACCTAGGCGCCCGAAATCGATGAAAATTCGTCGTTTTTGTAGAATGGAAGGAAAACTGAACTTATTAAAAAGTTCGCCGTAAATAAATGTCCACTTTTCCTCTCACGTTCAGTCTCACTTCATTCATGATGTGAACGATACGTAAATAGAAACCCTGGTGCCCAAAATCGATAAAATTTTGTCGTTTTTTTTGTAGAATATTTTATACAAGGAAAACTGAACTTTAAAAAACGTTCGCTGTAAACTGCACAGCAGTGCATGCGGAATCGAAATCCGGGAAGTTTTTAGAATTTGGGGAAGCTTTTTCGGGGATAGGTATGCCTCCCCAGCAGCGTCCGAGACCGCCTTTCTGGAACTGCCTAGCCCTACGAGTAAGAACAATAACGAGTAACAATGGGTGGAGCTTTTCCAGGGAAGTTGGTTTGGCAGAAAGTCGTCAAACCCACAATGTCCGATTATGAAGTTGAAAAAATGTCACACTGAATCAATGCCTATTATTACAGATCTATAATATTTTGCATTAAACATGCATTTCAAAGCTCCTTAACGCGAAAACGATTGATTTGCAAAGCAATAAAGTCCTACAAATCGGCTAAAGTTGGTGGGGTGAAATGGCAAGTTGGTGGGGCAGTCGCCCCACGGCCACCAACTGTGTAGGAGGCTGCGCCCTTGCGTCTGTATTCTGTAACTACACCTATAAGTAAGTTGCACGGTTCTCATTTGAGGTGTTATGCGGCGCAGCATGCATTCAGGCGCGTACCACTAGCGACATCTAGCGATATGAAGTTAAACTTCTGTAGCTCGGGTGCAGAGGTGTATTATGTAAAACAAGGTGTTATCCAATTCACAATTGTGCTACAATATTTTGGTGGTTCAATGTAAAAAGCACGTAAAAGGCATTGTTAACTAGCTCAGGCCAGATGCTTCAAACACTTGCCTGTAAACATGCGTAGGGTAGCCTGGGGCAAGACGCCCCAGATAATTTATTTTGCTACATAACTTTTGTCCCACATCACCTGGAAGGCCAAATTTGTGCTCAATGCGTTCTATGGACATTTTACTTTAAATTCCACCCTTCGAATTCATTCACTTATGATCGGACTCGCAGCTAGGAAGTGATTTGTGAAGCAACTGCAAATGGGGCCTTTTGCCCCAACCCCAGGGCAAAACGCCCCACGGCCTGGGGCAAGAAGCCCCATACTCTAGGTTACAGATTAAACATGCTACATTAGACCTCGGGAGGCACGGCACTGAAGTTAGCACCTTCCATCCTGTCAGGTGTTCAGCTATGACACTATTGTATGTACAGGTTTTTCACCTGCCTCAAAAGGCCAAATAATAAATTGTTGTAATGCAAATGTTAACAAAATACTTCCTTTACCATTAATTTGCTGAGAAAAGTACATAAAATTGCATAGAAACTTACTGTTCGCCAGCTACCGAACATTAGGAAGTGGGTAGTCGGAACAACACATGAGGTAAAACGTCCCATGGGGCTTTTTGCCCCGCGACCTACTGGGGCGTTTTACCCCATCACGTAGTTCGGGCAGAGAACAACGCCTTGCACTCCAGCAAGACATAATTTAAAACGGACCAACCCAGCATTATAAGCGTTAGACAATAGTTGTTCAAAATACATAAAAGTCGTTAATCTGTTGTGGACCATAAAAGAACGCCATGATGCAGAATCTGACTACAAAACATAAAAATCACTCCAAAAACAAATTTTTGGCTATATATCTCCCTAAAGAGTTATCACAATTTCTTTCCAGTCTGCTCATATAATTATCATATAGTGCACGTTTGATAGAAGAGAGGATGTTTCCCCAGAACCTTGCCAGTTCCGAGAAACATCGGTGAGGCGTTTTACCTCGGCGGGGCTACTTGCCCCGGTCTACCCTATACCTAACCTGCACATACTAGGCTACTAGCCAGTATAGGCCTAACCAAGGCCCTAGGCCTAACCATGATCAACTAGGAGGCAATAAGAGGGATTTGGGTTGTTGGAGGTTTTATTTCCTATGCCTGCAACTTATCACGATTTAATTGAAAACATCAGGGATCTGGCATTGTAATGGCAGCTTTCGTCTGGAAAAAAGTGAAATTTATTATATTAGGTATCCCGGCCCCGAGCATTGCACCGGCCACCGAGAGCTCTAGCCGCGATTCCTTAGTCCTATACTTGGCATTACATAAGCAATGGTTCAAAAACAATAAAAGTAAACCAACCAGGTGTTTTTATCACGCTGTTCATAAACACGTCTAAGTCTTCTTCATAAACTGATCCAATTTAGGCACGTGCATGGTGAGAATCATGTCATGTCGCTCTTCAAATGTTCATAGGTCTCCCTCGTGACTGCCGTCTTCCTGTCAGAGTATTTTGACGGTTCACAGCACCGAATTGGGGTTTGTGTACCGTAGATAAGAGCCTGTTTACATGCTGAATCAGACGCTGGATTCCTGGAGGGGAACCGGGCGGGTCACGGCATCCCCAGCACTCCCTCTTATGTAATGGGTTGTTGACTTGTGACCGGCTTTACAAATAATACAGCATCAGCTTAATGAAAGTAAGCTGTCTCGTTATTTTATGATCAGACAAAATGAATTACCAAGATAGCAATGTCTTTTGTTTTGTGCATGGTTTAACTTGTAAGCTTTGACTTAGGATGTCACCTTGC